ATAATTACATATATTAAGTAATGAAGAATTAATGTCTAAATTATGTGACACCTATGAATTTTGGAGTGTAAATCAAATTAGTTATATGATTTAAAAAAAATAAAGAGGCTAATTATTATAATTTATAATACTTTTTATATATTTTTTAAATGATATATATATATATATATATATATATATATATGATATTGATATTAGTATTATAATAAATTAAATTTTATTATTTTTAAATTTATGATCTCAATTGTCAGCCTATGTCACATTATAAAATGTTCCAAAGTAGATATCAGATTTACAAAAATGTCGATGCCAGCTAAAGTAATAAAATAACATCTAAGGGCATGAACCTATATATGTATATATAAAGCTGAATATAGACAATTTGATGTGGCATCTCTCTATGACCAGTATTTATATTCATCTTTTTTCTCCTTTTTTTGACATTTTATCTTTGTTTTGTATTTTTTTTTAAAAAGTATTTATGTCATACCCGATTAATTATGCCCTTTATAACATCCATTACACTAATATAGATTTAAGTAAATGAAAATGGAAGATGAAAAGATAAAAACTATTCATTTTTTATATTTGTTTATATTTATTTAGCCTATAAAAAAAAATAGTTGAGCATTTGTAACAAATAAGAACAAATTTCTTCACTTTGTTTCTTCTTCTTCTGACGATGATGATCAATATATTGTATCAACTTCTGTCGCTAAGATGTCCATCAAATTTCTAGGTCATGTGACTTTTTTAACAAAAGAGAAAGAGAGAATATCTCATGATTCTTGTGAAGACATTGACGTAAAGAAAGAGATTATGTAACAAAAAGTTCTTTTCAAAATAAAAGATTTTTGAAAAAATGTTTATTCCTCCTACAAGGAGAGAAAATTCATTGTGGTTAAGAAATTTATAAGAAGGTTGATTAGTGTTTCAAAGGGTAAGAAAAATTATTTGGAGAAAAAATCATTCTATTTATGGAATTCGTATCAAATTAGGAGGAGAACAAGCAAAAATTTATTTTGTGATTTGAAAAGAGAGAAAATTAGATATTATTTCTTTCAACCTCATTATTCTTTTAATTTCTTTCTTCTTTTATTTTGTCTTGATTTTTTATATCTTTAATTAAAGTTTTTTTTTTCTTATTTATCTTTAATTAAAGTTTATATATATATATTCTTAAAAAAGAATTTAAAAAGATGATCATATTTAGTTCCTTTCCTCATCAATGCTATTAAACTCATAATTAGTGTTATTTATATTATTTTCATAATTACTTATTTTTCTTTCATTTAATTATTTATTTGAAGAAATTAGTTATTATAACTTTATAAGAATTACACATGTATTTTTACATAATTGATTTGTTATTTTTAAAATTTTTCGATCATTCTTCATCTTAAAGTTTCTATCTAGCTATATGTAATAATAAAGCTAAAATAGAAAATGTGGGGTGACATCTTCTTAGCAATAGATACTTATTTATTCTTATCAATGTTTCTGACATTTTTTGTTATTTTTTCCTTAAAATAATTGTTGCCTCGATTTTTAGTTTTATTTTTTTAGCATTTTCTAATTTTAAAAGACTGAAAAATTTATATTGAAAATTTACAAAATATAAAAAATGATTTATTTAACTCCTATCATCATCAATATTATTCTTATTTTGTTTTACTTCTTTTCTTAATCTTCATTTCATCATTCATGTAATTTATATCATTTTCTTAGATATATATATATATATATATATATATATATATTTGTGACATTTCTTAGAAGTTAGGATTACTATTTATTTAATTTTTAAAATTTTTGAATTCTTTTGTCATACTAAATACAACATGTTTTATTATAATTACATTTAATATATTAATCAATATGTTGTACGAATGAAAAGAAAATTATCATTTCACAAAAACAAAGGTTAAAATATAATTATTATGATTAAGGAAAGATAAAATTATTATTCCAATATCCATAACCATATATAATACATTAAAAATTAATTGAAAAGCTGTAAATGGAAAATGAATCACCATTTAAGGAATCATTATTTTTAAATTTTTGGATCATTTCTTCTTCTAAAAGTTTGTATCCATATGTAACAATAAAGTTAAAATAGAAAATGTAGTGACACCATTCTTAGTAGTAGATACTTAATTTATTTTTATCAATTTTCTCTGACAATTTTGGTTATATTTTTCTTTAAAATAATTATTGCCTCAATGTTTTTTTTAACATTTATTTTTAATTTTAATTTTAAAAGATTGGAAATTTTATGTAAAAATTTAAATAATAGAAAAAATGATTTATTTAACTTTTATCATCATCAATACTACTAATTTATTTGACGCTTTTTCTTAATCTTCATCTCATCATTAATGTTATTTATATAATTTTCTTAAATCACTTATTTTTTCTTTTTTAACTCTTTTATATATATAAAGTTGGATATGTAAATGATGATGTGACATTTCTTACAAGCTAATATTACTATTTATCTAATTTCTCCAATTTTTGAGTTCTTTTGTCATACTAAATACAATATGTTTTATTATAATTACATTCAATATAGTAAACAATATGTTCTAGGAATTAAAAGTAAATTATAATTTCAGAAAAATAAATGTTAAATTATAATTTTATTATGATTAAGGAAAGATAAAGATATTAGTTCAATATCCCATAACCACATTCAATACATTAGAAATTAATTTGATATAACTGTAAATGGAAAATGAATCACCATTTAAGTAAAATAAATGTTTGCAATACCATAATAATTAAGGAGAGATTAAGATATTATCCTAATTTGGAACTTTTAATCTACTACTCAATTAAAAAGAAAATGCATTTAATAACATTAAAAAGTTATTAGTTTAATATTTTTTCTCATTGTACTAATTCAATTCAATCAAACTTAATTTTAAAGATAAAATAACAGCTTCATTTTAATTGAGATCAATATATTTCAAAAAATTATTGTGAAAAGGCTTTTCTTGCACCTTATTTTAATTTTCATATACTATTATTATTTTTTCTGTCATTTTTCAATGAATTTTTATTTCGATTTAAAATTTAATGTTTATTCTTAAAACTTTGATGGTACAAATTAAGGTGGAGTAGAATATAATAAATGATGATTCTTCTACTAAATAAGAAGATATAACGAAATTGAAAGGGTGAAGCTTTTCTTTTTTTTAAATGGATAGGAAATTCTATTAAGGTATCATTACGTCATTATTCAATATATTTTTAATATAAATTCAATTTGTTGATGCATTTGTTTAGTACTCCCTCTGTCCCTAATTACTTGTTCACTTTTCTTTTATAGTTGTCTCTAATTACTTGTCCATTTTGACAAATCAAGAAAGAACATTTTTTTTTACCTATTATACCCTCAATTAAATGACTAACTACTTTGAAAATTGCAGAACTTTTCATCTACTTCATAATTAATAGGGATAAAATGATAAACTCACTATGTCATTAATTGATTTCTTAATAAATGTGTCAATTTAAAAGTGGACAAGTAATTAGGGACAGAGGGAGTATTACAATGTTATTTGACATTATGAGATATTTCTTAGACATTTAAGGAGAATGGTACACCGGAATATATATTATATATTAAAGGATCAACTTCATGCAATGGAAGAATTTGTTATTAGCAAATATATTTTAACTTATTTGATAAAAAATATATTCTTCCTCATTTAATAGATGTAAAATTTGTGAAGCTTTATTTTTTTCACAATCTTCATATTATTAAAACAAATAATAATATTACGATTAAACAACAGAGTAAATATAAAATTAATTAAAAATATTTAATTTAAATGATCGAGCGAAGTGCGACCAAGTTCTCTAATTTAAAACAAAAAAGTAAAATTTAAATGGGTCTACTATAGAATTCCTAGAAATCCAACTTGAAACATTATGTTAAAAATGGAAAATAAAAAGTGAAATAAATTTAATTGAGAGTTATCCTTCGTCTGTCCCATTTTATGTGACACTTTTTATTTCTCGAGAATCAAATAGTTTAAGTTTGACCATAAATTTGCGTATGATATCTTCAATTTTTTTTTAATGAAATTTATATATTTGTAAACTACGTAAAAATCAAAATATTATAATTCATAATAATTAATAATTCAAAATATTTTAAAGATCTATGAAAAAATTAAGATAAAAGATAAACTAAAGAGAGTAAAAGGGGAGAATGGAAAGTAGAAAAAAAGAAAAAAAAACGAATATATAGAGAGAGAAATTGAGGAAAAAAAGTCAGAAAAGTAATTATTCATGTGGATTATTGTATGGGTCCATATATAACGTTGTAACCTAGCTAATTTTGCTAAGTAATATTTAATAAATAGATTACGTAATTACTACTATTTTAAGAGTTTCACTTAAGTAATAGAAACATATGATGTTTGTCCATATTTTTTGTGAAATTATAGAGGTAATAATTAATGGGCAAAACATCATTACTAACAATGTTTACACTGTTAAATCCAACTTATTAACAGTAATTTAATTAAGAAAGTGCAGTTGATTAATGATTATAATTTCCATAATTGGTGAAGTCGATAATGACATATCCAATGTTTTTTTCCCCTTCTTTTTAAAATGGATATTGACAAATTGCATGAAACGTCAAAGTCAATAATAGAAAATAGACCTGTGCATACTGTACACATTTGACCGGTTCTAAAATACGTGTTACACGTGTACAGAAAGCAGTACACATTTTAATGTGTAAAAAAAGTAGAAGTAGATGAAGTTACTATTTTAACCCTATTTTTGATGCTATGTCGTAGTGTACACATTTGACTGGTTTTAGTTCATCTTTTTGGTGGGCCAATGTACAATTTTTATAGCTTTTAGTCCAACTTTTTAGTGCAGTGTTGGTCCTTCCAAACTCCCATTTCTAAATAGGAGTAATATATAAACGAACCGGAGTTATTCTTCGCTGGTGTAAGGAAATTGCTCGTCCTCCTATGGCAAATAAGCTCATGAGGTAACTCCTATATTCAAGTTCTTTTCACTACCAGCAAAACGTCTCTAGTTTTTTTTATAAATAAAAAAGGAATTTGATTTGTGGTATTTTTGTGGTATCAGATTAGAGGGTAAAGTAGCTGTAATAACAGGTGGTGCAAGTGGCATCGGTGAAGCAACTGCGAGATTGTTCGTTGAACATGGTGCCCGTGTTGTCATCGCCGACATTCAGGATGAACTTGCTCTCCAAGTCGTCTCCTCCATCGGAACAGACAATGTCTGCTACAGACACTGTGATGTAACCGACGAGAAACAAGTAGAAGAAACTGTCGCCTTCGCTGTCCAAAAATACGGTACCCTCAACATCATGTTCAGCAACGCCGGCATCCTCGGCTCCTTCGGGAGTTTACTCGAAATGGATATGGCGGTATTTGACAGGACAATAGCTGTTAACACGCGGGGAGCCGCGTCAGCCGTGAAGCACGCGGCTAGAGTCATGGTAGCTAAAAAAATCCGCGGCTCTATCATATGTACGGCTAGTGTAGAGTCTATCCTAGCCGGTACAGGTCCGTTACCCTACGTGGTGTCGAAGCACGGCATCCTAGCGGTGGTGAAATCGGCGGCGCGTGAGCCGGGGCAACATGGAATTAGGGTGAATTGTATATCGCCTCACGGCATCGCCACGCCGATGGTGTGCAAATCGGTTGGAGCTGATGCCGCCAGCGTTGAAGCTACAGTATATAGAAATGCTAATTTGAAAGGCGTTACTCTAAACACGAAGCATATAGCAGAAGCAGCTCTATTCTTGGCTTCGGATGAATCGGCTTACATTAGTGCTCAGAATTTAGCTGTTGATGGTGGACTTAGTTCTATCATGAGACCATTAAATTAAATTTGCCTACTACATTACATTCCCGTGTTTCAATAAATGCTCTTAGTACTCATTGATGAGCTTTTTTCTGTATGATTTTTTTTTTAGATTTCGTTTTGATATATCAAGATATTTTGATGGTAGTTAAATCAACTAACGATGAATAATTAAAAGACTAAAAACAAATCATTTTTGAACATATAATCATCAAAATAAAATTACAAATCAAACTAGAAATTAAAGAAAGAGAATTAAATTCATATAAAGGTAACACCTGTGAAATTATTGTTCTTTAAAATAGATGTTTACTATATAATTAGTTTTGTGTGGTTTCTAGAGATCTCATCGAATAATACATCTTCTAACGTGTAATAAAAGTTGTGGATGTTTTCCAATCTTTTCATGTCTTCATTAAAAGGAGGATCATGATGAATAACATGAAATTTCCCATCAATTGACCTGTTTATCCCCATATAATGCATCGCGCCAGTCTGGAGGCAGATGTGGCACAAATTAGGTGCATTTGGGATGACTGGTATGAGGACATTGCGAAACATTGTTCCATTGATTTCGCAACGTTTGGCTGTGGAAAGTTCAAAAGCCCAAGTCACCCAAAATATGTGTGTCACATCTTTCAGGGTGGATAATTTGGCTAGTGCATCAGTTGCTACAAAATATATGTGACTTTAGGAATACTGCACACTGTCGCCCCCCGTCTTGACACACCATAAACCTTCCATGGACCGCCCGTAGTGTCAGTGGATTAGAGTATTTCGGCCAACCACACCGGTGACTCCAATAATGAGGCCAACATTTTGGTAGCTTATTTCATGTGTTCCGCAATACTCAACATTTTCCTGCGAATCACACTACTTGTGAATATTTAATCAACAAAATTGAAATACTTAATTACGAAAATTCGAAAACACAGTTTTTTTCGTGTGCCAATTTGTTCTTACCTGCAGTGCATTATTGATAGATCTTAACAAACACTAGTTCATTCTGACAAAAGTGTGCTGATAGGCAAAAGTATGAACTTGTAAGGTCCTGCAATGTTAGAATGTATTTTCTATTACTCGAATTTAAATGTAACAAATAAATTGATGACTTTATAGTAGTATTTTTCTTGATCACTTTTTGTTGAGATTTAATTATTTAGACTTTTATTAGTCTAAACAAACTTAGTTATTTATATTTATTGTTATAAAAAATTTTTTAAAAAAACAAAATAAAATTAAAGAAGATAAAAAACTAGAAACACATGCATGTGAATGGTCCCCTGCTGAAAGCTGCGTTACTCTGTACTCTGTGCAGGAAAATCAAATGCCCCTCTAATCTATATTCAGATTTTTAACTACACACTTTCATTTTACGGAAATTCTATCACCCCTTGAACTATTTAAGTTTGATATTATTATATCCTTCAAACGTCACAACCATATTTATGCTGACGGTGAAACTCACGCGTCTAATAGGTGGAATTTTATTTAAAACTTTTTTTTATTCTTTTTCCTTTCTTATTTATTGTCTAGTTAAAGGTCACCATGCCAAAATTTATGGATGTATTTTGGATCATCGAATTTGGAACATGTTGATAACATAGATGGTTGGTAATTATTTGAAGCTAAACATGCTGAGTTTGACAGAGTTCATGGCTAAGATTTTTAGATTTGAAGAATAGCCGAAACTCCATGGAAATCAATGAGCTTCCATAGGAAATTATTGGATCTATATTCGTGATTTGGGAGCAGTTTTCGTTGATGGTTGGAAGAGTTCTGTATGGCTGAATACTGAAGCTCATAGTTTAAAATGTAAGCACGAACTTGAAACCTCCATTTAAAAATAGTTCAAAAGCTTGAGTTCGAAATTCGATTTGCCACAAACGAGCTTCATTTTGAGTGGGTAATATATCAAAGGAATCGAAATGTCGAAAAAAACTTAGATTCAAAATTTATGGGTGATTTTGAGAAGAATTTAGATGATTTTACATCAAATTTTCAGTGTGTGTTACATTTTTTAGATTTGTAAAAAAAATAACCAGTTATTAAAATCAATTGAGAAAAAAATTCTATGGGTCAGTTGAGTATTGAATATAGGATGAAAAAATTTCTTAATATTCAAAATTTATTGAAGAAAAACAATCGGATATCCTTATTAAGCTTAATTTTGCTTTCATTTGAAATATTTTGGTACATGATTCTTGATTGTGGAAACTGGTGGGTGAAATTGCTAATACGATTTGTGGTGTATAATTGACGTAGTGTTGGCGATGATTTCAAAATGATGATGAAATTTGATGCTTGCCATAGATGTTGTATCAAGCTGCTATGAAGAAGAAAACAAATTAAAAGAGATAAAAAAAATTAGGAAAAAAAGGAATAATAAATAAAAATACATATATTTATGAAAAAAAATATTAGAAATAATATTTTAATATTTGTTTTTGGTCTTCACTCTCTCAAAGAGAGTGAAATACACTCACATTGCCAAGTAAGCGTTTAGGGAGATAGTAATTTCAATTTTAAAAAGTTCAAGGGGGTGATAGGACCCCCGTGAAATTGAAGTGTGTAGTTGGAAATCCGAATATAGATTAGGGGGTCATTTGCAATTTTCTCGTAATCTGTATGATGATAAGGAGGGACACACTACTATTAAACAAGTGTCCCTTGCGTTTGCAATATCAATATCCCTGATGTATTCCCTCTGTTTAATAATAATTGTTCACTATATAAAAATAGTTGTCCAACAATACTTGATTAATTTAGAAAATCAAGAGATAATTTACCTTTTGTGTCTATTTTACCCGTGCTATTAAATACTAGTTATCATCTAAGGCATTTCTCAAAGCATTAAATTTAATAAAGTCAAAGGATAAAATAATAATGTTACCCCTATTATTAATTGTTTCTTAAGAAATTGTAACGACCTGGAAAATGATAGAGTGAAACTAGAGCCTCACATGTGAGTTTGGAGTCGAGAACTTAATGAAATGATTATATTTGAATTTGACCCAAAAAGTTCTTAAAAATGTGCTTCGGAAGTTACCGAAAACTTGTTTAGCTGTATATAAAAAGATCCGTTTCGTTTTTCGAAAATCCGACTTCATATTCTTGTTTAGGGGGTCAAATTGAGTGGGAAATGGGTCTAACCCAAATTTTAGAGCAACCGTATCAAAATCCGAAATTTCCAAGTGAAGCCTTTTTCGAGGGTCTACTTTGGAGGGTCATATCTCCTAGCACACAAATTATTTGGGTGGCCAATAATATATCCATGGAAAGCCCTTTGAGTTAGCTACCTAACGCACTTCGTTTCATCTCATTCGGAGTTCGGACGAAGAAGTTATGCCCATTTTCGTAAAATCTGTTCGGCAGGAAAAGGCAATTTCCAGTAGGCGTGGTTACTGTTCACCCGCCTCATTTTTTTTCTAAGTGTTGGACCATTCTTCCAAAGAACATATATTATTTCCTAGATACCATTAGTTCAATTTCCATCCCTAAAACATTTCCCTCTCTACAATCCTCCATTAAGAAGAAGAAGAAATGGGAGCTAGGGCTTTGGATTCAAGGCTTTCTTCATCAAATTTCGTGGGAGATCATAGCAAAGGTATGGTGACCCTTGATCCTTGATTATCTTTCCTTCAAGGAGTCCATTAAAAAGGGTTTCAAAAGTCTTCAAAGAACAAAACTTCTATTTTCCATTCTAGGTATGGGTTCATGGGTAAAATGTTTTCAAAGTCATTATATTGGTGAATTGAAGTTGTATTTATGATTTTAAGATGATTTTATATGAAACTTCTTCAAGAACCCATGTTTTTATTAAAAGCCTCGAATTTGCTTATGAAGTGGGTTTAATGCCTATGATTTAATGTTGATGAAATTGTGTTTAGATCGGATTGTATTGTTGATTTATATGGTTTTGTATATCTATTTATGATGAATTGTTGGTATATGGATGAATTGAGGATTGTGGCCTTATGGGTGAATCACCTTGTGGTGATAGAATTGTTGGGAATTGAGTAATGGTTATTATGGCTTTGGAGGATGGTAAGTTGGCTTAATCTCATCTTATGGATAAAAATTGTTCTTGCTTGGTTTGATCCACTTATGGTGGAGGTGTTTAATTATGGAAAGTATTGTGACCATGGCCTTAAAGGCATAGTATGAGAAATTGGAGTGTTATCATGACATTATATGAATGAGAATTCAATGAAGATAATGTGATCATGTTATGAACGTAAAAGTGTTGCTATTGAAAGATTATTTCTCAATTTGACACTCATGAATGTTGATGATAGAATATGAAGGATTCTTCAATATAAAGTATACCTTGAATTGGTAGGGCTTATGCATCATTTTCTTGTATAAATGATTATATTGTTGATTGTTGAATCCTCAGATCGGTAGGCTAGTGGCACCCTTCCACACGAGCTTATAATGAACCTTGGAATCGGTAGGCCTATGGCACCTTTCCATGAAGGTTAATGATGAAACTTGAACCGGTAGGCCCATGGCACCCTTTCAAGAGGAGTTAATGAGCTTTCCTAAATGAACCTTGAAACGGTAGGCTTAAAGCACCCTTTCACGTGTTAATAAATGTAATTTGGAGTTGGTAGGCCAATGGCACCTCTCATATGTGATAATGTCAAGGTAACGAACTATTCTATGGGAATGTTGGCTAAGCACCGAGTGGATTTGGTTAGATGGAAACTCCCCCAATAGTTAGGCATGAGTTTCAATGATCGTCTACCTTATCCCATAAACTATGTGCCCGCATAGGTAGCTAGTGGATCCATTAAGCTATATACCGGTCTTCCTTAGGCAAGTAGACCACCTCTTTACGGTGTGGGGACTTATGACACCGGATTCCATGACAAGCTCTCATGGTCTATGTCGGTTAAACGCTTACTTCCCATCATGCGAGATTTCATTATGGTTTCTTGATAGGTTCTACAAAGTGTAGGTAGTAGTATGAGATGCTACCTATACATTGCACGAGTAGGCTTGGAGAGGGTCATAGTGAGT